TACAGCTTATTTTAAGCACACTGTATCCCAATTGAGATCCTAATAGACCATGTGATAAGGTTACAAGCCAACTTGAGTTTCATCCTATATAACTTAGACGGATGAGTTCTCCCATCGTCGGTTAGTTGTGTACAAAGTTTGTTTGCTAAGGAGGCAAATTGTCGGTAAGTAGCTAACAGTGTGAGTGCTTCCTGGAAGAGCGGACTGTGTTATTATGTTATTGTGTCATTAGTTCGTCTACGCTTTCGTGCTCGACTGAATAACTTGCTGGCTTCCATCATTGCTTCTACATTGTAGAAAACAACGTCCACAATAAACTAATCGCACAACTTTTTATGACTTTCAATTTATTAACATTGTTATTTTTGGTTATAAAAGCCATTTTAAAAGATTGATTTTACCGTTGACTTTTGGTGTATTGATATAGGCCTAAATAAACTAGCTGTAACCTATAGAAATAAGGGTAATTGATTATTGTAAGGGTAATTGATAAGGGTTGTTTGAGTCACTCTCAAAGAGTGCTACAGTCGAAAATGTTTTATCACTTTTTCATTTTTTATGTTAGCCTCCAGATATCGTTGAATATATGTAGTGTAAATACTTGCTTCATTGTAATGCAAAACAATGATATGTAATGCAAAATTGTGTCCATCTTTTTAACCAAGCCAAAATGAAAATCAGACGTAGGCCTATTATTAAATAAACTACATATTTTGTGTGATTTTTTACAACTATCAAAGTATCGAAAATTGAGGGAGAAAATATAATTACGACAGTAGCGCACTCTATATGCGTTTCATTAAACTATGTTCCATTTGAATAAAGAATATCTGCAGCTGGTCCACATAGATGAGATGAGCATCCAAAAAGTCAATAGCACAAATCTTAAGACCTAGCGGAAGATACATCACGTTAAATAATAAATAGATTTATAAATAAATAGAACTACACCCGTGAGTTTAATCAATTCCAGCCCCAGATAAGCTTTTAACGTCTTAAACAAGTAATTAAAAGATTAACCGGTCTTAAAATAATTCCATTAGCGTTTATTAATGGAACCAAAAACAAAAACTTCGTTCTACTCCCGATTTCGCCGCCGGTGAACTCTTCACTTAGGGGTTTATTGGAAAACTCAATAAGGGAGTTTTTAAGTCGCCGGGAAGTGTGTAAGAGACGTGTTAAGTTGTAAGTAGCTTACATGTAAGCGGGTTTGTGTAAGTGCACGTTGGACGACGCGATAACGCGATTAACACGACGCGACAGCGCGCCACACGCAACAATGCGCACGCCCAGTGTTGCCATGGCGACCAAGAAGGCGGGACAAAACTAAATAACCCGGAGATGTCCGTCCGCGTCCATGTTTCTTGGAGTGTTTGCCGCGCTGTGGTTTCCGGATTTGTTGAATGGAAGTTTAAGTAATAGTAGTATTTGTGTTAGAGAATGGATTCAAATGTGGTTGATTGTTTCAATTTATGTGAAAGGGTTTACGTAATTTCCTATGACATTGTTCCATTGATTTTTATATACTGGAGTAGAAATACAATATGGACCAGTTGTAACCTCTTATGAAAATCAAATTGAACATAGTGCGCTACTGTAAAAATTATATTTTCTTCCCTAGTTGTTACTGTGACATAAAATATGTTATATTTACAATAAGTTGTCCTTTACGGAGGCTAGATGAACAACTTGGTATATATTTGCCAAAAACACAGTAATTTACATCAATGCTCTGTGTTGGTGACTCGATTTAACAAAGCTTTTTTTATATTCAAAAATAACTACAATGTAAAACTTTCGGTTGTATCTTTAACTATGAATTAGCTAGTAATGCCATTACTATTTTTAATTTGAAGCTAATTTAAGGATAATGTACAAGTTAATGTTGATGATTTTGACCATCGACCTGGTGAACTGATTTCAATTACTAATTTCTGTTGAATACACCACCGTATAATCAAGCTCAATAGAAAAGTTAGATTGTTATAAAACTCTATAGCATCGTGTACTGTATTGCAAATCATATAGAATTATCAAAGTTTCGAAAACTTGGAGAGAAAATATAGTTTCGATAACAGTACACTTAGTGGATCATTCAACTGTGTTCTTAAAAAAATGGATACAGCTGCTCCATATACATCGGATGTTTACACTGGCAACTAATAAAAGTATTTTTTTTACAGAACGTAATACAGTATAACTTGATGGACATTAACATTTTTTGCAATATACACAAAAACGTGTGTAGGTTCAAACTATTAAAAAGTAAAGTTAGTATTTTACCGTTTTCATTTTCATTCACATTTAAAAAGACAAGGTCTTCCAAAGGACTAATTATTAATTTGTAGCCTAAATATTTTTATTTTATTCCTTTAAACATTGTTTATTAAACTGTACTTAAAATAATTTGATATGTTGTTTAGCTCTCTAATGTAATTTAAAAACTATAACAATTTTAAATAACATGAAATAGTATTTTTAAGTTTGAAAACTATAATAAAATATTTCGTAACAAAAACTTTTGCAAACGCATGTTATTTCAATACACATACTTGATAAACAGTAATTTAACGGTTTGAGTAGTCTACCGATGATAAAAAGTAAAGGTCCCACCGAGATTTGAACTCGGATCGCTGGATTCAAAGTCCAGAGTGCTAACCATTACACCATGGGACCGAGTTGTGGGGAGGCGATCGCGCGTCACTGTTCAGTGTTGCCAACTTATGCGCCGTGTAAACTAACTCGTTATACTGTAGTAAAGTAACATAAACACGTTGACTATAGTATATTGTATTAAAATTAAGCACATCAGGTGTTTTATATTAATCAGTATTGTTAATTTCCACTCGGATTAGTACATAGATATTGTCTTGTGTTGAGTGATTATTTTCGCAATGAAGCATTGACATAACCAGTACGGACATACTGTGAGCAATTGAAAGTCTGAAGGTAAATTAGAATGTTTCGTATCTGAAATCCTATATACTAAAAATATTTTGCAAAACTTATGACAGGTACCTGACCATACTACTGGACCGAATTACACGTGGTTTGTACATAAAAACACATGGAATATAAAATGAAAGATATTTTCCTGTAGATGTTCAGAATCGTTTTATAAATTAAAATAGGCTCAAAACTAAGCACGAAAAATGTATTTTAATTTACTTTAAATTAACATGGTCCTTATGGGTTATGTTGGTGACGAAATAACAACAAAATATAAACAGAAAATAAAAAAAATCAAGAAATTCTAATCACATGTTCTATTAACAGCGTGGGTTGAAAATGGAGAAGTTAGCACAATACATACTTTTGGTCGAGGGACATGGTACTAAAATCATATACATGGACACAACATAAATATATTTGTAAAAAAGTGCACTATAATGGTTAAAAAGGATATACCGGTAACTTCGAAATTGTAGACAAAAAGGGGTAGCTTTGTATTTGGTACACGGAATGACGTTATACAATTGAAAACAAGTGTTGGAAATTTTGGCAGTCCGTCATTTTACATTCTTACGTCGAAAAATGTTTATTATTGTGCTTCTCTATTCACATACTGTTAAGTACAGTATTGCAATCGTTCAAAATATAAATGATGGTGTTTGTGTTTATACTCTTTGAAGTGGCCATGGTATTTATTGAGTTATCAAGGTTTGATGACATAAAGGTACGTAAGCCACAAGGTTTTGGAGCAATACTTATAAAATATATTTTAAAGTCTTGGCCAAGCTGAGTTATTGTTCATCAGTTATTGACCACTCCATATCATCCATGTCCTCAGTGCAAAGCCCAATCGATGATGATATCCCTCTCCCTGAAGACCTACTTTGCATCTATACTTCGCCGTCTCGGGACCAAGGATTTGATATAACTAAATAATGCACGGCGAGCTATGCGATTAGAGCGGCCACGGACCCTTATTGCATACGATAATGAGCCTTATTGCATACGATTATAGGCCCTCGTCGATCCAAAACGGCATCTTAGAGCCCTCAGGCAAGTAAGTCCCTGAAAGTGGTTAGGGGAGGGGCAATCCTTTTTCGTGTAAATTTTGTTATGCGAAATAATGTAAAGTGTAGAATTGTTATAAAATGTGTGGCTATTTCGTTCTCAAAGTGAAATCAAACATTAGAATGTGGAATTTAAAGTTATATTGCAAACTAAAAATGTATAATTTCTAGACAACTCTTGACAGACCACATGCATCCAATAAATGATTTCAAAATAATAAAATCTTTAAGGCATAATTGTTTTTGTAGTAATATTTACATTATATTACCACGACACATCACTCAACTTTCTCATCATTCTTGATATTTCTGTTGACAAATATCTTTGAACTTTTGAAAGCTTATGGAATAGGTGAGAGTATATTTCGAAGAATATGTTTTAAGAATGGTTTGCCTGCTTTCAAGTTTTTAATATTTTGTCTTAAGTGTATTATGAGTCCTTGACATCGACATTAACTATTTCAAGCCAGTACACGCCATCGATGTATAAAACTACACGCATGTATTTTGAAGCATTTGAATTCATAAAAAAATCCATTGAGCAATCATTTAAATATTCATATGTTATACGTCTTCATTTTAATATTTATTGAATTTTCATGAACGAATGTTTGCCCTAGTTTTTTCCTGTTATGACCTCAGCCCGGGCCACTGTTTTTTGTTTCGATTCGAGACTCCCAGATATCTAAATTCCATCTGGGTGAATTTAGATAGGCATGATAACTGTCGTAAAATTCTCCAATTATTGTAAATATTTGGTTGAAACCTACAAGGCAACTTTTTAATGAATTACGAACCAGTCAAATTTAACAATGAAAAACAGTGTTTGGAGCAAGCGGAAATAGTATATATATATATATATATATAAATGTATTTTATCACATAGTGCATAGAATATCCAATATTCACTAATTAAATAGTGTAGTAAAAATGTATTTTCAGTCTAGGTAAGATGACTTTTTCATTTGTGATGTTACTGACCTGAACCCTGGCTTCAGTCAGGTTTATCTTCATAGCAAGATCTTCCCTTGTGAAGACATCAGGATAATGTGTCTGTGCGAACGCTGTCTCCAGTTCCTCAAGCTGAAAACACGCCAAACAATTACTAATAAACATCTTCACCAATAGCGTTTAAATCTCGCATGATAAGGTTTTTCGCATCTAGTCTTCGCACAGGTCTGCACATGTATTATTTTTTGTGTATTTTAATTTTTTCATGTTTCTTTCACTATAGTTTTTTTTTGTGTACTCTTAGGAGGTTATTGTTATTTCAGTATATAATATATTTGTATGTACCATTTAATTAATTTTTTTATATTGATAGGAAATAAAAATGCTGTTAAATTCAACATAATTGCCGTTATTAACTTACATATCATGATATTATACATTATCATACTATACATTATTTATTATTACCATTCATATTATTGTGAATTATATTGTATTTACTTCATTAATGGATAGGATGTCATTTAAGGTTCAAGCCCCGTTTCTGTTTGTTAATGAATAGTTGTTGTATTTTGGTATTTTGGGAAAACATTTTTAAATAATTTGCCAAACTATGCAGGACTAAAACTCAAATAATTGAAAGTTAGTTTTATCAAGTAGATTCAATTATTCACTATCTACATCGTAGAAGTATGAAGATTTATTATTTTGTATTCTATTGTTTGTTACCAATAGATTTTTATCTTTTTACAGACCTGTTGTAGAGTGAAGGTGGTTCTGTTTCGCCTCTGCTTGCGACGAACGAAGGAATCATCGTGGATGGCGGGGTGATATGAGTAACTGGTGTCTGCAACAACAACAATCAACATTAACAACAACAGTAACAACAACAGCAACAACAGTTAACAACTATGCCTACAACAAGTTAAATTGGCAACTTCAACAAGGTAAGATTCGCTAACCAATAGCACGGTTTACGCCCTGGATTAAACATAGCTACTTCGCTACTTCCACAGACAAAACATACTTTCTACCTTCTTCTTATCGATTTATAATTTTCATAGATAGTGAGGATGATTTTAAGGTTAGTTGTGTCCGGCTTATGAAGCCAGTTTTATTGTTCACAATTAGTTTCTGGGCATTTACCTACATTTAACACTAAATAAATTGAATACAGCAACCGATTTGTAAAAAGTATAGCTTTCCCTTTCACGTTGTAACAAATTATTAAAGCAAAAATCTTAAAATCTGACCCAAAAGGGAGACACAGTAGTCGACACCAGCACACTCAAACGTCACCAACTAGAAACACACAATGGCATGAGAAGTTATGTGATCGTTGATGAGATGTTACTTGTTCTCAATGTTCGATTTGTAAAAAATGAGGTGCCGGAACTGTAACCTATTTATTGTGATTAGTACCTATTTCTGCCAATATTTTTATCTTCCCGAAAGAGAGGTAGCGGAGCCCCCTTCCGCCATGTTCCCCCACAAATCGAGCACTGCTTTTACTGTACTACTATACCTAACTATACTACTATACTAACTTAAGTAGATTTTACATTTAATCCAAATCGAAACTGCTAAATTAGGTATCTAACCTTTTAAGCACGACATATAAAACAAGTAATTTCTGTCAATCAACAAAAATATCAAAAAATGTTTAAACAGAATAGAGTCATTTTTTAGTTCCGACAAGGGTTAGGATTTTTAAGCCTATTAGTTTCTTTAGTTATCTTTCTCTATACCATTAAATAATTCAACGATGATATCTGCATTGATTACGTATTCCACCGTTCTTGTAAATACCATAGGCATTTTCCCATCAAACGTGTTTATTCCAAACTGTCGACCCCAAAACCGAAATAAACGGTTATTACGTTAATGTTTCCAACGTTTTACATAATATTGTATTTAAAAAAAGCATCAATACTTTTAAAGCCAAAACTAACAAATTCACTGTTTAAAGCATAACGAAGATGGGAGTCGTTCATTAAGTTATCCGCATTTGATATAACAAGGTAAGACGAGCAAATTGCACAAAGAGAAAGTTATTTAAATAAAGCAATATTATGTCATCTTATTACGCTTTTGATGTTGGCAAATCCAATTCGCCACATAACTAGCTAATTTTGCCTTACTGAGGGATACAACTGGGGGAACAAAAGATTACTTAAAAGAATATGTTAATTACTGTGCCAAAAAGGTTTTAGAAAAGGGTTGTCCAGCGTAAAAAGCTTTTGTTTTGAATTTAATATTGGGTTTGAGGAGGGTTTAAATTATGTTTTACTTATTTTAATTAATAAAATACAATATGTGTTTTTGCTGGAAGAACAAAAATTGCAAAATGTTTAACGATTTTGATATCTACTGCATATTATCTTTAAGCTCTGTAACCAAAATATTGCATTCAAATTTAAAAATGTGTAATTGAAACCTCTTAACAAAGTCCTCTTAACAGGAAATGAGTTTTTTTTTAAATATAATTTCTTAAATTACAATTTGTACACTTCAGTGTTTTACAACAACCTAGAATGTCATTCGTTCCACAAATGGATGCATTTTTGCCAGAAACAAAAAAATAACGAGAACTTAATTGCCAACCAGTCGTTTTCCTAATCCCAGTTTCAATTAGCGTCAGTAAATAGTGGAAAAACGGGAACATAGCAAAAACATTATTTTTACTATTCGATTTAAAAATTAAGTTGGCAATTTCCGAGCAGCCCGGAGTAAGCCGTATTGTCGGGGCGTAGAATTTAATTTCCTCCGTCATAAAAATTCAATGTTTAAGCTTTTAAAAATAATTGTATAATCTGGCGCTATTATGAAGGGTAGCAGGAGGGGGCGTCGCTATACATCTGTTATCAACTCCCCACCCCTTCCACTTATGATAACGGTGGTCGTAGTTTAACCCACCCCTAATTCACGCTTTTGTTTAACACATGTGACGAGTATGTAATTGTTCTATACGGGGGTTAGTGATTACGCCAGGCCGTGGATATGATTTCATTTGTTAAACGTCGAAACTTTTCTGTACTTATGTATTTAGATGTCAGCACTTAGTATTGTGTAGCAAGTGGTGTGGATATCCATGTTTGGCAGGGATGAAAGTAATTACTGTTGTCTTGAAAAAATGCCACATTAGAGATACGAATTGTAATTATTTGGATTATTTCATAATTTTTATATAATATAGACTACAGTAAAAGTTGTATAGCTTATATAAAAGATTTAGCGTTTGTTGTTATTTGTTATTGTTTAATCAAATAAAATTTAACAACCAGTTTCTAATTTAAATTCAAAAGCTATCGTTTTTATGTCAATTGTACAAATGACATATATATAAATATATATAAAAAGGTTACCACAATTTGCTTATAGATATTACTTCCCTGTGGGTACCTACATTTATTAATTGCTATATTTTGGGGTACTGTGTAAAAACTAAATATATTCATGAAATTAAACAACTGTGTAACCTAATGTTGTAATATATTATTTATTAAATTATTTGCTTTTAGAGATACATACCATTATCTTAACGGTAGTTTCACGTAATCAATATTTTTCTAAATTATATTAGCAGGTTGAAAAATCAAGTAAAAATTTGTTTTATTTTCATAATTATTTTGATGTAATTTTATAATAAAACTCACTAAGCACCAGACGCGAGAGTGGCGGCAGTGGAAGGATTCGCGGCGTTCCGCAAGGTAGAGGTTTAGTGCCGTTGCTGTTTTTAATCCCGAGGTCGCTCGGTGGGGAAGGGGCGCAAACGAAATCTCCGGTGATTAAAAGGTTTGCAAGGTTCAAATTACTTTGTCTCGACGAGCTCTCCAATTTCCTGCCAAGTGTGATCATCCAGCGGTTATATTCGATTAAAACTTCATCAACCTGACGAGACTCTAACTTCAACTTCCGTTCTTCTTAAACGTGGTTTGTAAGCCACTGTGTAGGGAAGTTTTATTTGGTTGATTTAATAAACAAATTATACGGTTGAAGTATAGTTGCTGAGGAATTATGATTCAGATGGGCATGAAAATTATGTATTTTTACCCACCACCACAAATCTCCTGGACGTCCATACATAATAGTTCTGTCCAACATTTGTGAAGTAGATAAACAGGTTTGAGTACACATCGGACAAATTTGGATACTTATAAAACTATAGTACCCAATTTAGCGTTATACAGTAGTTTGTGGATTACGTTTCGCAGGGCTTGAAGTGAAGCAGATTGGTCTTTCGAGTTTGTAGTCCATTTTTTATGTAAATTTCTTTATGAATTTAAAACGCTATCAATTACGACGGTTAGTAGCCGTTTTCTTAAAGTTAGGGATATTATCCAGTTCATACCAATCTGATTATCTTGTTCAAACCCCTGACATACAGTAAAATCTGTTATATTACGGAATAAAATAAAACCACTGTAGGAAGGATAAAACGAGAAACAAGAATCTATATTAGATAAATCGAGATAAACGCTTATAAAACCCTTCAGTTAAATAAAACTCTGACTGATTGAAATACTATTGTATTTAAATTTATTGTGTTGATTGATATCCTTGAAATTGGCGAAACGGAGAAAACTAACGAGTTTATTGGTACAGTTATGTGAACTTGAACCTTAAATACATGTGAACGTATATTTTTTATGTTGCATCTTATTCAGTTATTTCTATTCAAGCAAGTCATGTTAACCTATTTTTATTACCGTTATAACTGTGATATCCTTCCAACTTCACCACAAATTTATGTTTTGGCACAGTACTGCAAATAAAATATGAAAAAAAACTTTTCGTTTGACTCAAACCGTGTCAGTCTTCTTACGTCAATTGCGGCTAACCACTCTATATGGTAATGGTAGTTTAATCTTCGGCCGCACAATCAATGCGATCTTAGGCCAGGCGCACACAGGCGATTTTGAGTTGCGCAACAGTTGCCCGACAAATCGGGGGACTGTTGCGCAACTCTCTCGGAGACTCTGAAGTCTAGCGACAGTTGAGCTGGAGTGCGCACACAGGCAACTTTTTAGTCGCGGATCTAGTCTTGAGACGTGTTGGAAATACATTCATAACAGCGTTCCGAATGGATTTCAATGATACAGCCGTAGTATGTGCTTTGTTGCTGAAGTTTCGCGCGCGAAAGAAAAAGAGAAGATACTGGGTTCATCCCATATATATAGTGAGCAACTTGTGATAGGACAGTTTCAATGACTTTAAATATAGTCGGCCTCTTCTCAAACATACTCATCACGCACACTCATACTTGTAATTTTCTAAAATCTTCACACAACAAGAGAGCAAACACTAGTGACAGTTCTGACCACGAGTAGTTGAACTCCTGGGGTGAGACTGAGCGACACAGCGACTATTTAGTTGCATGTGTGCGCATCTACACTTGTTTCAATGGATACCAAACCTGGAGCGACAGTCCCGCAACAATTCAGTCGCAGAGCAGTCGCTGGCAAATTGGGTCCGGGAACATCGGTTGCAACAGTTGCGCGACTGTCCCCAGACTGTTTCCTTCGTGTGCGCACTCCAATTTAAAACAATGTTGAACATTTTAGTCGGGCAACTGTTGCGCGACTCAAAATCGCCTGTGTGCGCCTGGCCTTAGACAGCAAAGCCGCATGATGACGTGTCACATGACCAGGCGGTGATAAGAACGTGTGGTTATGACCGTGACGTCACAGAGGCTGTGGTTGACGTTAAGTGATTGGAGCGGGGAAGTGTCATCAGGTGTGACAACAAGGGGCTAATCCCCCCCCCCCTACTTCCCCCTGCTGGGTCCTTATTGGATTAACTCTGGGCTACTTTGTCTTGCACGATTTTCTAACCCCCTCCCCTCCC